TTTAAGATGGTAGAGAGGTGGCAAGATAAGGTCGAATAAGGAGGAGAAGGAAATTTCAATTAAACGCATTAATATGCGTTCAAATTTCATCATTTGTACTTATGAAAGAACGAGTGATCATCAGTTAAAAAGGTATCGTAGGTCAAAATAGAGCAAATGAAGGAGAAGGGCTGCATTTATCATGAAGATTGGGAAAGATAATAGAAAAAGCAATATCACAAATGAAGAACTAGTGCATGTAGCAGAAATGAAATACGAGTTTTAGAAAGATCAGCACTAATGGCATAAACTAGGAGATCATTCCTACTACACATTATCGCGTATCCAAATATGCGGAATGCCAAGAGTGACACATCATTTTGAAGCAAAAGACAAGCGCATGAACATCCTCGGTTAACAAAATCATTTGGAAAAAATAGCGAGATACAGAGGAATTTCATAATGATACCCTGTTATTTCTTTGAGCAACTAATCTATCACCACAATAGGTTTTTAGTCCGTCGAGTCACTGGTGCGGTTTATAATATGGTCTTTTTCTCTAAGGTGTTCTGGGTAAATTAGCAGTTTCTTTTGCTTCATATACGTAGGCGGTCAGATATTCAGACTTGAGTGTTTTCGATCTTCTCTACATTTTCGTGTTAATTGATGATTTTGTGCAATTTCAGTAGTTCGACGCCTCAGAATGTCTGCCATGGAAGTGACAGAAACGCCTACAGCTGAATCGGAGCAGATGAAAGAGCAGGTCGAGGAGATGCACCAGCAAAAAGTTGAGGAAGCAAAAAAGGTAATTTCAAATCTAGAAATTTAAATTTCGATAAACTTTGATTAGTCATTTTGAGAAATAAATGTGATTCCCTCACCATATTCTGTAATTGATATTGCGGTAACTTCTTGGCCCAAAAAGTGCTGCCGATACAAAGCGACTGTACTTTAAATGTTTCCAATCACTTCTGGTTTCTTTATCCTAGACAAGAATGTTGTACTCTGCATTCAGAGCTTTTCATCATGGAACACCGTCTTAGTATTTACTCAAGAATCTTATTTCTTTCCGTGTTCGAGTTGCTTTTGTTTAGCAGTGCATGTCACCTGAACGGCAGTGTATAGTGTTCACCGTTAGTAGAAAGGGTGACAATTGATTATTACACTATTTTGAACTGATGCAGACTGTGAGTTTGTCATGTTTTTGTTTTAGGAAGAGACACCAGTGCAGGAGGAAGCAACAAAAGCAGTTGATAGTACACTGTCTCATCCTTCAGCTACTTCCGAAAATATTGAATCAAACGCAGAATCGGAAAAGAAGGATGCACCTCAGGTATATGAATTTGACTTCTTTTTCATTTCATTTCATTGACTTTTTCAGCACATATAATCTTTATGCTTTTTCTTCCTGCAATCTTTCCTTGCTTTGCGGAAGCTGTTACGTACGGTGATTCACAGTAGTTCTTTTTCCGGATAAACAAAAATGCGTCAGCAGATTTTATGAAATGTGGGGTTTCTCAAAAGACAGTATCTGGTATAACCACTCATCATCTCTTTTGAGATGCATTATCTTGTTGTCTAAAGCTCCTGAAACGTATATGACGCGGAATCTCGATGCTGTTGAACTTCTGTTAATTTGAGAAGCATGCAGAGCTAGTCTTCCCTAATTTTTTCTGACTTTTAGGCTGGTCTAGAGAGTGGAAGTGGTGATACTGCGACAACAGCGACTACCACCATCCCGACGCGCCAATATCTAGATCAGACTGTTGTTCCCATTCTGTTGCAAGCCCTAGGAGCACTGGCCAAAGAACGTCCACCAAATCCGATCGAATACCTGGCCAACTATTTGCTGAAGGAGAAAGATCGTTTTTCGGCATCATTCAGTCAGCAACAACAGCAGCAGCAGCCAAATGAGTCCAGTCATTGAGTCCAAGAAAATATCCAAAAATTTTTTATTTACGCAGCATTGTTGAAAAAATTGCTTCGTTTGTCATTTTCATTGGTGTTTTGGATTTGATTTTTAGTGAACCACCCACGCTCTGAGGAAAATTTTACATCAGACAGGGAAAAACTATCGGGGAAGAAACTGTTTATTGTTTTTATACAATGGTTATGACGATTCTTTCGTGGGTGGGACGCAATGATTTTTATTATTATATTCTTATTATTATTATTGTGCAGTATGTTTTTTGGCATCTTTTTCTCAGCATGCTTGCAAGAAATCAAAAATTTCATTAAATCGGTTCATTTTCAATTTCCTGTCAGTTTTTCGTATGTGTTTCCAACATTGGAAAGTACTTTTATTAATTTTTACTAGATTTTAAATCGAGATAAGGTGATTTCGCGAGACTCGAGTATTAAAAGTAAATCAGTTCAAATGTTCGACCGGGAAAGTGAAAGAACTTTTTAGAAAAGCTCTAAGTTCACGAGGTTTATATAAAGGAGTATCGTAGAGTGGAATCATAGTTCGAACATGTAAGGTCATTGTAGGGGTGACCCATTCGTGGAATTAATAACACAGATTCGCATGTACAATTGCAGGAATCCAATAATGGTGAAATTGTTCGTAGGTGGTTTGCCAGATGGCGTTGATTCAATGCGACTTCGGCAACTTTTTTCTCAATTCGTTGTAGTTAACGAATGTGATGTGATCAAGGATTACGCCTTTGTTGTTCGTAACTTAGAAAATTTGATTTTAAAAGATGATTTGATAAGGAAAATATGAAATAAAGGTGTGTCTGTCGTATCTTCTCTAAGTGTTTAGGATTTGAGATGGTAACAGTGAATGGGGCATATAAAAAGTGTGCTTGATTTAGAAGGATCTCTGTGCACGCAAACGTATCATCAAATTTTATGCGTTTTCAGCATGTGCCGGAGGAGTCCGATGCTCGAACAGCCATTGAGAAATTGGACGGCTATATCCTGGAAGGGAAGGCGATTAATATACGAAGGTCATTTTATGGCATTTGCCTTTCTGAAGATCGTTAAGACTGTTCATTCATTTATTGTAATGCTTCCTTTTGGTGTTGAAGTTACACAATACATACGATATATGACCTTTCAAAAAGACGTTTTGCAATAGACTATTTCATCTCACTATTAAATTTTTATAATAATTGGATCAGGTGGTTTTTGCCCTATGTATACGAGAAATTTAAGGGAAGATGTAAAATATGCAGTGACTATTGGTTCGTTGAAGTAATTTCTTATGTGCAATGCTAAAGAAGAAAAAGGATTTGTTCAGAAGAATACTTATAGGTCAACGTCGAAGTTACGGAAAGAACCGGGCATGGATAAGCGTTGTTACCGATGTGGAGCAGTTGACCACAAAACTCCACAATGTCCAAGTGATCCTGCAAATATTAATTTGAAACGTGCAGCTAATGCAGGCTGTATAGGCGGCCCAGAACAGAAACGTTTTATTGGGGACGGAGTGTATGTTTTCTTGGATTTCTTTGATGTTCATTATTTGCAAGTTTTGTTGGTAGCTTAGTACTGGCGTATTTTTTGCCTTGAAATAGATTCTGAATCCTCTGCAAATTGTAAGTCCAGATATTTTTAGGCAAAAATGGTTAAAAAGATTAAGGTTGGAAGATGAGGTAGTAAGAAATCATTTTTTATGCTGTTATTAACAGTCCAAATATTCGAGGGTTTTTCACTTTTTTACAGCGTCGCCGGAGAATCTTCGTCTTATGCACCAGGGCATGACTCTAGTGCACCCGGTGCATTTCCATATGCTGCAGGTACGGGTGCTCCTGGAGCATGGATTGATCCAGACCCTGAATTACCTCGACCTTTGGAGAGGTAAAATTTTTATATCTTGCTCTGAAAAGACTGGAATATATTTTTCGTTTGCGTTCAAAGCACAACTTTAAAATAGACTCGATTAGTTATTTCAACATTGACTCGTGGAAGATCACATTATTTATTCATCCAGTGTTCTGGATCATTTGACAATCTTTTTTGTGTTGTTGCACAGTTATAGCATCATATACAAGATTTTCCCGTTGTTTTCTATTATTAATTTTAATGCTGAAATCGATTTTTCCTTTTTGCATTTAAAGATAAAATTTTTTAGTGATCTATTTCCATTATACGAGCAGTACATCGAGTCGCGAACAAAATATTTCTATTTTCGAGATCGATTGACGAAGGAAGTGAAAGCTCGAGCTCATGCATTACCATCAATATCAGTTGCACCGCTCCAAGCTCCATATGCTACTAACAATGCTTACAGCACTCCCCCGCCAACGGCTCTACAGTATACCGTGCAACAGTTCTGTCCAAATTTTTCATATTTTCCATAATATTTCGTAGTTATTTCGAAGCAGGGAGTAAGAGTTAGTAAGATTTCACATTCGATTAAGTACACTAGCAACGTTTCGCGGATGTAAACAATGAGTAAACAACGTTTATATTTCAACTCAACCACAATGTAGTGACATGATATAATACCCTTAGACTGTATTATCCTTGACGAGATTCAATTATCTAAATATGAAATTGGGGATTGTTTTTTCCATGGTTGGAGAAATTAGACTTTGCAACTTGCTGTGTTCTAACGGAATTATTCTTTGTCATTATTTTGTGGTTAGTTGAATAATGGACATTAAATGCAGATGAAATATTTAATGTAAGCTTAGAAATTTTCCTACGTTTCGTGTACTTATCTATAAGTAAGTTAAACGTCAAGTTTCATTAACTTGATAAGCGCGCCGAATTCAGTTTCCAACGTTTTTGCTAATTTCGTGTTTATTTTCCATCATATCAGGTGGTTTTCATTATCATCGCCGCGAAATTTCTTCAGTTCATTAACTAGGTTGTATGATATAGGTTTTTATGTTAGTCGCAATAACCTCCTTTTCTCGTTTCAAACAGTTAGCAAGAGCTATTCGAAGAGGTACGTCTCATGAGGGTGCTTATATTTTGTAAAGTGTTGGTGAAAATGGAATTTTGGGATTAGATCTCAGCTAATCGTCAGTTCTGTTAAATTGTTAACTACTTACTAAGCGCGTGAAAACACTAGAATGTTTTCTGTTTTGAAGAAATATAGTGCTACGTGTAAAGGCTAAGGACATTCATGGCGAATTTTTCGATTACTATTGACTTACGTTATTTTACCGAAATTTCATAATTCACATGAATAAGAGAGCTTTTCGTGAATTGAAAGTCATTTATATACTTTCAAATTCATGCAAATTGGCGTATTCGACGTAGTTCCAGTCTGTGACACAGACTTTCGTTCCAAGAACATGTATTTGGCGTTGCGCTTAAACGTTTGCAGACGATTTTTCGCAGTTGTATCGGCGCCATAAAATTTTTATGCTAATTCATGGGAAGTCTTATTACTTTTTCGAAATTTCAGGAATTCATCTCTAGGATCAGCTTCAGCAGCAGCAGTAACTTATCCTTCGACAACGGGAGCATCACATTTTTATGCTAATGTAGTGAATACAAGTGCCACAGGAGCAGCTTATCCTACTGCACAACCTCTTCCTCAGCCAACTCGTTTGTACTAACCAATATCAAATTGAAATGGTTAAACTGGTATTACAGATATATTTTTTTTGATTTTGACTACATTATCAGTTTTTGATATCAAGTTTCATTTAATTTTTTATTCTATCATTATGAATGGGTTTAACAGGTTAAGGCGAAGGCATCATTATATGTTTCATTATAAAAGTATATTTTTTGCTTTGTTTATCGGTTCATAATCTTTGTTTCAGATTATATAGATAGATTTCGTTCCTCTTATTTTTCTCTTCCACTTTCCTCTCAGTGTTCAGCAAATGCGTTTTAACAGTTGAAATTGTTAGGACATATTATGGTTTTATCGTAAAGGGAATTTTCTCAGAGAACTTTATTAATGATTAAATTTATTGTATGAGAAATTTACTGATTTTTTGAAAGAAGTTATTGTCTAGCGGATAGTTGAGTAATTGTGCGTCAGTTATTACGTGGAAAGTTTAGTATTTGAAGTTACATAACTTTAAATTATCCAAATTGGTGGTAATTTTGAATTTATGTTAGTTTTTGCATGTCATACACCTGTTTCTTCTTTGGAATCATTAGAATCTTGTTTAGTTATCGATGTGATTATGTTTTAACTTTCTCTATTTTCGTCAAGTGATGTATTTTTTTGATTTGAAATTGTTGGAAAAGATTTAAAAATAAAATGGGTTGCACTAGTCTCATTTAGATTTACTCTTCTTCACAAAAAGAAAGTGTTTCAGAATTTTTGAAATTAAGATTGTTACCATTACCATTAGTCATCAGCTTTTTCTCATCATTTTGGAGAAAATTGAAATTAAAAAGTGAGATAGCGCTACATGATTTTTCGAACTGTACTTTTTGAAGGTGAAGTTTGAATGTTATTCCCAAACTTTTGATGTTTTTTCCATTCGTGTCGCAGATTTCGTTTCGCCTAATGTTGATATTTGAAATCTTTAATATATTGACGTATCATTTTCGTGTATTTTTGTAATTTTGATAATAGTAAATTTTTTCAAACAAATTTACTAAACTGATTGTAACTTCTAAAATAAATTTTGTGCAATGAAAGGAAACTGACGAACTTCGAAAATTCCTGACTACGTGAAGATGTAAGAACTACAGCATTATCAGTTCACATTTATATGATTTTATTTTTGAGTCTTTGACTACAATTTGTTAATAAATTCGATAAAGGGAAGCGAGATTTTTTAGATGCAGTTGCAGGCGTACGGACGATGTTTCAATTGAGGAGGTTTAATTAGTATTTCATTTGTAAACTTCGTAAGTAATTGTAAACTTCGTAAGTAACAATTTTGAGCGTTGATGTCGGCATGGTTGAATTCAATTGTTACTTGTCTTCTTAATTTTTCTTTGTGACATTTGGAATTCTACAGTTGCTAATGAATTAATACATTTCCTTGCAAATGTTCATATCACTGGTTAGGAAAAGGAGGAAGAGTGAGATTCGAGATGAGACGGGAAACTGGCAGATGTATGTTTACAGAAATTCTTATTGAAATAATTTGAATTTCTCGTCAAATGAGGAAAAGTAACAGATGTCAATATCCACAAGACTATAGCTATGACTTATTGATCTGATCGCTTTCTAGACCATAAAAGTGGATAATTAGATATCCGCTGATTATGCGAAATGAGGAATCATAAATAATGATTTGTGGGTTACTCCATACAAAGGCTATCAAAGGGTTTTGTTGGAAGGATTTTTGTGGATTTTCTAGCTAAGAAAGAAATTGAAATAGAGATCTTTTATAATATGGAGGATGAGAAGAGAGGGAATAAGAAAGATAGGCAAAAAAAAGAGATAAAAATAGTGTAGTACTTGCTTGTAAAATGATCCCAAATGATGACGTGTTTCTTGCTAATATCCTTGGGTAGATTATAATTTTGCATGGTCAGTAGGACTGGGATTGAGCCAAATGGTCACTAAAAATATAGATAGGCAGGTGCGGAACAGCTTTAGCTTATATCATTAAAAGCTATCCAAATTTAGATACTATATGAGAAAACTGATGCTTTTCCTACAGGCAAAATAGATAAAATCTGAAATAATTCGTTGATACTGAGGGAATGAAGTTATTTTAAAAATTTATTCGAATAAAACAATCAAAGCATTAGCATCGATTAAATCTGCTACCATATGTTTTATGCGGCAATGTTGCATAGATAATTTAACATTTTGTGTTTCGAAGTTCAGGAATTTTCTTTTTTAAAACTCAATACAAAAAATGAATCAATCACTTAAAAATATGAATTTCTTCCTTTATAGATGATGATATGAAGTGCCGTATAAAATTTGCAAATGTTTCAATTCACTTTATCGTTTGTAAGCAATATTCACAGAAAGTTTCATTCTCTTAAATTGATATTATTAAGATATCTTAAATAAAATGACTTTAATAATTTAGGTTTGAGCGCATTATGACCGATATATCTCGTAGAAAATTACATGAAGTAAGAAATTGTGAAAGAGTAGGTAAGATGTAGAAATTATAATATAATTTTATCGTGGTCCGATAGAATATTGGGTGAAATAGTTCACAAAGGTCAAATGGTTGAAAATGAAAAAAGATTTGTAAAAGCCGCTGGGAAAAAAAAGTAAACAAATACAAAAGAGGACAATAACATTTCCTTCCAGCACATTACGCAATACAATATTTACACATCAATAGATGAAGAGTATGGGCGATAATCAACGGATTCACATCAAATCATTATCTTATCTAAAATAGACCGACTGATTTCCTGCTCGACCTCTTTGCAATGAATGACCTGACCCTCATTATTAACGATTAAGCCATACCAACAATTACTTTGATCATTCATTGCCGCTTCTCTCTTCTCATCCACTTCCAGTAGTCTGAAGAGAAGACAAATGCTCATCGCTTGTCTTCTCTAAGCTTCTTATTTCTTTGCTATGAACTTTAACCTTTCCCTATTTTTTTTCTTACACACTTCTCCGAATTAGATATTCTAAAGTGCACAATTTAAATTAAACTAAATATATCGATTAATGATGTTCTTGATCATATTTGCTTGAAGGATAATGAAATGATATTATAGATGTTCTTTAGAAATGAACAATGTATCAAAGCTGTAAAAATTGATCGATCATATGATGTTATTTATCGGGAATAGCCTTGGAGCTTTCTAAATTGCCCGGATCGAAAAACAAATATATATTCTTTTTGAGCTCAATTTTTTACACTTTCTTGATGCCTAGCCCTTGAAATAGGCCCCAAATGATAGCCTAAACTTAGGAGCACATCAATCAGTGATCAATTTAGTTAGAAATGTATTTTGTTGTGATCATATCACAAATCACTCTTACCATCACATCACAAGAGAAGTGGTAATGAAGCAATGCAAAGTAATTCGCGATCACATGTATCAATCATCAACATAACGGGTCATAAATTTTGGCTAAGATTTTTTTGGAATAGTATGTGGAAAATAAGGAATGATTGAAAGATAACGGTATGGTAAGGCGGTAATTTAGAAGAATAGATGAAGAAGGGTAGAAAATGCGCTGTTTAGTATTGTCGGATTCGGATCCTCTTCCACTTTTTCCTTTTCATCATTAAATCAGTAATGCATTTATTTATTTATTTATTTATTTTCGTGGTATATTTTTGTCATTCTTATTTATAATAATAAAATCAATCAATCAGTTAAAATATTCTCAACAATAGCTTTATTAAGCGGAAAAAATTGATAGTAATAGAAGCGGCAAAAAATTATTGAATGATAAATCAGTTTAGTTATTCCGCATAAATTTTATAAGATCTTTCCGATAGATTTTAATTTCTTTAATTTTTTTTTGTTTAGAAAAAAAGCAATAAAATTGAATTATCAAAAATTTATTTTATTTTATCAAAGGAATGAAAGAATTGATATCGATGATATATTCATATAATAATTCAATTATTTATTACAATAGTGAAATTAACTCTTATTGCACTTAGCATAGTCATGTTCCGATTGAATCTTATCATCCGAATTTAGTTTTGCCGGATTGCAATCCGGAAACAATCCCTCATAAAGGACATATTGTAGCAATTGTAAATAATTTAGATTATGTATGCTAATTATATTTGGTTATTTGTATGACCGAAAAAAATGTTTCCTTCCTGTTTGAGAGCCCAAAATATTATTGCATTTTTTCATAGTTTAACTTTTTTGAATTCTTTTATGAATGTTAGTGTTAGCTATTTCTATTAATCGCTCTCTTCTCTTTCTCTCTCTCTCTCTCTCTCTCTTCTCCACATATTTTTTTCTTTTAAAATTAAATAAGACATCTGTTAGCGATCAGTGGATAATGATCATTACTATTACTATTACCGCCACTACCACTACTACTACTATTAACTATTACCGCCACTTCTGAAGCTTGATATTTGAAATTACTACTACTACTACTACTACGACCTACTACGACGATGATCAATTTATTAATCATCTAATTCACTTATTTAATTTATTTCTTCAGCTTCATTTAACTTTCTCTTTTTTTTCTTTGTTCCGCCAAAGACATTTTAGTATTAAGTAATGACTTTCATAGGCACCAATTCTAAATCTCTTCAAGGTAATTTAGCATTCTGTGACCTTGACAATTCCACTTCAGGTCGTTTATCTTTTCTCTTGGGAATCATTACATAAATGATACATGACAAATAAATTTCCAAATAAAATGATTAAATATAGTTCCGCAAAAGTTTTGTAACAGTTTTTTTTCTGCTAAAATTGTTTATAATACGCCATAGAAGGATCACTTGGAAGTAAATCTTAGAATTCTTTGAGTAGAAAAATTTAGGAAGTTCAAATTTTGTCGTAATGTGTAATTTTAAATCATATGAGCATAAAGTTTGCAATTGTCGCATCGATCAATTAAGAGTTGAAAATTCGCTGATAGATAGATCATCAACCGATATATTTCCATTTTCTTTTTCACTAAATGTCAATTTAATTAATTCATTTTGCAACAAAATGTTTGGATAGAAAAAAA